TACTTGAGTACATTTTTGACTGTGTATTTGTACTTTTACTTAAGTACATTTTTTGAGTACTTTCTCCACCACTGCTGCGGTGTTACATAACAGACCAACACAGAGTAGTCCAGAGTTGTAAGGTGGAAGTGAAGCAAAAGTCTGCCGGTGTTTGATTTCATCTCAACATGTATGCAGCTGTTACACATGCTTATTCTGACATAGTTGTAGCTGTAATGGCAACAAAAGGTTGTTCTAGTATTTTGGATTTTTAATTTTGTCTTGAAAAACAAAGGTCTTGCACCACTTCAAGATGATTATTTTTTTGTTTTGTTTTGTTTTATTTCAGCTAAAGACTTAATTATTTGTGGTGGAAGCGTTGTCGCAAAACAAAAATTCAAGATGCGTGAATACTTTATCATTTCAGTTATCTTCCAGCATCACTCTCACGCACACCAAACCTGTCACACATGCATCCCACACTTGCAGCGTGAAGTTTAGATTGTTTAGATAATTTACATATCAAGTGTTGGCCAGAGCACTGGAAAAGCTGCTGGTAACTGCAGAGGCAATTGATCTTGTCCACACCGACTGGGGCGATTAGAGCCATGTGTCTCTTTGATAGTCTAGACGAGTGAACAGTTTGCTCAGCAAGGACTGAATCTGCCTCTGCGGTTCAGTAAAAGAGGCTTTGAAGCATGCAGCTCCACATGTCAACTGATAAAAGATTTAAAATGTCACATTAATCCGTCTCCTCCTCTCAATTCTTCTATTTTTCCCCCCACTTTCAGGTGCCGTACAGTGGGATAAGGAAAGAGCACACCTGTCCCTGTCTCCCCCACCTGACGTGCAAGAGTTCTTACGACCTGTTCAAATGTGTTGGAGACTTAAAAAAATAAATAACAAAATAACAAATTTTGTTATCTTAGCGAGGAATCAAAAGATAATCACAATAAAATTGCACTAAAGTCATCAGTACTGATTTGATGATCGATGCAGCCATGAGCAAGTCTGAGTACAGATGAGCTCAGACTCACTAAACAACAGAGAAAATTATGCAATTTTTTCCAACTTTTGAAAGGCAATCTGTACCATGTTCAAGTTTGCTGTATGCTTGTTGAGTGTTTCCATGAGAAAATCTGGGGCTTAAAGTTTACCATGTCTAGCTTTTGAAGGGGAAGTACTCTGTAAAATTGATCGTTTTGAGCTTTGTATTATACTATGACATTATTCCCTCATCAAAATCATACCTGAAACGTTGCATTGATTCTTTCATGCATGTTTGAGAAATCCTTTAATCTCCCATGGCAACCATTCAGCTGTGCAAAACTCTTGGTGGGACAGAGCGCCGCCTTCGAGGTGCAGCTCCTCCTGAAGGCTACAGTTTTCAATCTTCCCAGCATTCGCCTCACAGAGCTGCCCCGTCTACCCCACTGTCTCACCCATGTCTCCTTCAGACTAGCCAGCAGCTATTAGCAAAGACCTGGTGGCACTGCACATCTCCTGAGCTCATTCTATGAGCTACTTCTCAATGAAACGCTGGTAAAAAAAAAAAAAAAAAAAAAAAAAATATATAAATAAAAAAAAATTAAATAAAATAATAATATTTTTATAGGGGGGGAAATGGTT